TAAGTTTGTGTGCTTCACTGATCATGTGTTGTGTTTAAATACCTTCTGGTTCAGGTTAGGAACCTGGAAGGGTTGATAAGTCCAGTATGGCATAGTACTCAATGTGCTGATGTATTACTGTAATGCTATGTCACACTGGGATAACACTGATATTACTGCTTCCTGCTGGTGAGATAGATATTACTGCTTCCTGCTGGTGAGATAGATATTACTGCTTCCTGCTGGTGAGATAGATATTACTGCTCCCTGCTGGTGAGATAGATATTACTGCTCCCTGCTGGTGAGATAAATATTACTGCTCCCTGCTGGTGAGATAGATATTACTGCTTCCTGCTGGTGAGATAGATATATATATATATATTACTGCTCCCTGCTGGTGATATAGATATTACTGCTTCCTGCTGGTGAGATAGATATTACTGCATCCTGCTGGTGAGATAGATATTACTGCTTCCTGCTGGTGAGATAGATATTACTGCTCCCTGCTGGTGAGATATATATTACTGCTCCCTGCTGGTGAGATAGATATTACTGCTTCCTGCTGGTGTGATAGATATTACTGCTTCCTGCTGGTGAGATATATATTACTGCTCCCTGCTGGTGAGATATATATTACTGCTCCCTTATGGTGAGATAGATATTACTGCTCCCTGCTGGTGAGATAGATATTACTGCTCCCTGCTGGTGAGATAGATATTACTGCTCCCTGCTGGTGAGATAGATATTACTGCTCCCTGCTGGTGAGATAGATATTACTGCTTCTTGCTGGTGAGATAGATATTACTGCTTCTTGCTGTTGAGATAGATATTACTGCTTCTTGCTGTTGAGATAGATATTACTGCTTCCTGCTGTTGAGATAGATATTACTGATTCTTGCTGTTGAGATAGATATTACTGCTCCCTGCTGGTGAGATAGATATTACTGCTCCCTTATGGTGAGATAGATATTACTGCTTCCTGCTGGTGAGATAGGTATTACTGCAGGTAGCTTAGTGGTTAAGAGCGTTGTGCCAGTAACCGAAAGGTCGTTGGTTCTAATCCCCGTGCCGACTAGGTGAAAAATCTGTCGATGTGCCCTTGAGCAAGGCACTTAACCCTAATTGCTCATGTAAGTCGCTCTGGATAAGAGCGTCTGCTAAATGCTAAATGACTAAAATGTAAAAAAAATGCTTCCTGCTGGTGAGATAGATAATACTGTTCCCTGCTGGTGAGATATATATTACTGATTCCTGCTGGTGAGATATATATTACTGCTTCCTGCTGGTGAGATAGATATTACTGCTCCCTGCTGGTGAGATAGATATTACTGCTTCCTGCTGGTGAGATATATATTACTGCTTCCTGCTGGTGAGATAGATATTACTGCTCCCTGCTGGTGAGATAGATATTACTGCTTCCTGCTGGTGAGATATATATTACTGTTTCCTGCTGGTGAGATATATATTACTGTTTCCTGCTGGTGAGATAGATATTACTGCTTCCTGCTGGTGAGATAGATATTACTGCTTCCTGCTGGTGAGATATATATTACTGTTTCCTGCTGGTGAGATATATATTACTGCTCCCTGCTGGTGAGATAGATATTACTGCTCCCTGCTGGTGAGATAGATATTACTGCTTCCTGCTGGTGAGATATATATTACTGTTTCCTGCTGGTGAGATAGATATTACTGCTCCCTGCTGGTGAGATAGATATTACTGCTCCCTGCTGGTGAGATAGATATTACTGCTTCCTGCTGGTGAGATATATATTACTGCTTCCTGCTGGTGAGATATATATTACTGCTTCCTGCTGGTGAGATAGATATTACTGCTTCCTGCTGGTGAGATATATATTACTGCTTCCTGCTGGTGAGATAGATATTACTGCTTCCTGCTGTTGAGATAGATAATACTGCTCCCTGCTGGTGAGATAGATATTACTGCTTCCTGCTGGTGAGATAGATATTATAATATATAATATAATATAATATAATATGCCATTTAGCAGACGCTTTTATCCAAAGCGACTTACAGTCATACTTCATGAGAGGGTAACTACACACACACACACACACACACACACACACACACACACACACACACACACACACACACACACACACACACACACACACACACACACACACACACACACACACACACACACACACACACACACACACGCACACAGCACATCAATAGACTATAAAGAGTTCATCATCAAAGTGATCACTAACGCTTCATGTACGGCTGTCCAGACGGAGTTAATTTGGCCAGTTAGAAGCGCATGCTTTCAGCAAGGAAACACTACTCTATTACATGTTAGTACTGTTTCACTATCTCACTTTAAATCAAACTGTACTGGTCACCATGTAATGTTATTGAAAACATAGAATTATATATAGAATAATTAACGAAAAATACATAATACATACATATTTTTTATTTGTTTTTAATGCTTTTAGATCACACGTTATTTCACACTTTACAGAAGTTAGAGGGATCAAAATAAATAATAATTGAAAGCAATGATTCATAATTTAATAGGATATCTTTGATTGAAGACATGTAGCCCACATCTACTGGCCATTTGTCCACTAGTTCACTCCAAGGTTTAAGAGACCAGAGTGTCGACTAGTTCACTTCATGGTGTGAGAGACCAGAGTGTCCCCTAGTTCACTTCATGGTGTGAGAGACCAGAGTGTCCCCTAGTTCACTTCCTGGTGTGAGAGACCAGAGTGTACACTAGTTCACTTCATGGTGTGAGAGACCAGGACATGCATACAGTTTCAAATCAAATCAAATGTTATTTGTCACATTTGCCGACTACAACGGGTATAGAAGACTGCACAGGGAAATGCAGACATGCATACACAGTTTGTCATTGTAGTCATTTTCCACATGTTTACTCTGGCCCTCTCTGGTAGTTATTTGTGGAGGCCTACGCATGCAAGTTTCTCCAAGACATTAGACCCTAGGCCCTATTTACAGCCCAGACTATAAAATCACAAAGAATATACAAGTTGCAGCCAATGATCTAACAGCACCTGTTTTTATGTATATATTTTTTTTCCTTCCCAGTTTCATGATTTCCAATTGGTGGTTACAGTCTTGTCCCCATCGCTACAACTCCCGTACGGACTCGGGAGAGCCAAAGGTCGAGAGCCGTGCATCCTCCAAAAACACAACCCGGCCAAGCTGCACTGCTTCTTGACACACTGCTCACTTCACCCAGAAGCCAGCCGCACCAACGTGTCGGAGGAAACGCTGTACAGCTGGCGACCGTAGTCAGCGCCACAAGGAGTCGCTAGAGCGCGATGAGACAAGGACATCCCGGACCGGCCAAACCCTCCCCTAACCCGGACAACGCTGGGCCAATTGTGCGCCGCCTCATGGGTCTCCCGGTCCCGACACAGCCTGGGATCGAACCCGTGTCTGTAGTGACGCCTCAAACACTGCGATTCTGTGCCTTAGACCGCTGCGCCACCCGGGACGCCCCTGTTTGGATATTTTTTACTGGTTGCAGAGAAAAGAGGCACCGATACACATCCTCCAGCCTCTCCCTCAGAGAGGAGAGAAAAATAGAAATTGAGTGAGTGATATCATTTCAGACCCACATGGTCAGAGAGTATCATCAAAACATGTGTTGTGTCATTATGTAACCATCCCAGGAGCCCACCCCCCTCTCTCTGCGGGGCCCCATATCCTTCCATCTCGCCTGAACACCTCAGCAGGAACAGCAACAGATCAATCAGCGCTGGCTAATTGATAGCAGCTGGGCGGCAGCGTCCAAGTGGAAAAGGGCTGACATTCTAGTTTGTTTTTGCAGGGACATCCAGGCGTGTTAATATGGTACAGGTGTCTTAGAGCTCCAGAAGAGGAGAGTTTAACGATCCAATGACAGCCTGTCACATCAGAGAGTCCTGGCCTCTCTCATCACTCTGGCCTCTCTCATCACTCTGGCCTCTCTCATCACTCTGGCCTCTCTCATCACTCTGGTCTCTCTCATCACTCTGGCCTCTCTCATCACTCTGGCCTCTCTCATCACTCTGGCCTCTCTCATCACTCTGGCCTCTCTCATCACTCTGGCCTCTCTCATCACTCTGGCCTCTCTCATCACTCTGGCCTCTCTCATCACTCTGGCCTCTCTCATCACTCTGGCCTCTCTCATAACTCTGGCCTCTCTCATCACTCTGGCCTCTCTCATCACTCTGGCCTCTCTCATCACTCTGGACTCTCTCATCACTCTGGCCTGTGTTAGCCTGCAGGGCTACAGCCTATACAGCCTGGCCAGGCCTCCAGTGACCGAGCCTCTCTCTGCTCCTCTCTCCCTGTTAGAGGGCTCTGTGAGAGAGCTGGGCGAAGGTACTACTATGTTTTAAATCAAGGGCTAGGGGCCAGGAGGCAGACAGGGGTGGATTTCTGACTGAGCAGTGAAAGAGGAGGAGAAGAAAAGTTTGTGGGCCTGCAGTGAGAGAGCTTTTCTTTTTTGATACATTTTATTAGGATACCTGTCAAACACTACAAAGAGCTGACAGAGGTATAAGAGGACAAGCTGAGTGAGGATCAATGTAAAGATGGAGGATCTTTCATTACAATAACTGGCTCTGAGGAGGCAAAACAACACACTCCTGTGGTCAATAAAGATGAGTTTCTTGGTGGTTTCCTATTTGGACATCATGTGTTTCTTGGTGGTTTCCTATTTGGACATCATGTGTTTCTTGGTGTTTCTCTCTGGTCTCAGGAGGATGATGAAACACTTTGGAGCAAACAGACAGAACAGCAGCCCAAAGCTGGAAGCTAAGATGGCGAATATCTCCACAGCTACAGTGTACTTCCCAGGAGAGCTGACGTAGGCTGGGATGAAGGAGATCCACACGGCACAGAAGATCAGCATGCTGAAGGTGATGAACTTGGCCTCGTTGAAGTTGTCAGGGAGTTTCCTGGCCAGGAAGGCTAAGAGGAGACAGAGGGAGGCCAGCAAGCCGATGTACCCCAGCACCAGAGAGAAACCGACCACAGAGCCCACTTCACACTCCAGGACCACCCTGGGCCCCCGACCCTCTCTGCCGCCCCTCTCAGCCGGCCGGGGTGGCGCTAGGGACAGCCACAGCACACAGATCAGCACCTGTGGAAGGGAAAAGGAGTAGGAAGGAAAAAGCAAGCACAGTTACCATGACAACATATAATATGGCCAGTAAAGGAAATAATTCAATTCCAATAGAATATAGTAAAAACTAGATGTTCACCTGGATGAGTGTGCAGAGGGAAATACCCATCCTCTGCTGGGCGGGGCTGAAGTATCTCATCAGGTTCTCTCCAGGCAGAGAGGCCCTGAAGGCCACCAGCACCACCACAGTCCTGCTGAGCAGGCAGGAGATGCACAACACAAAGCTTATGCCAAACAGGGTGTGTCTCAGCATGCACGTCCACGGCTTCGGCCGGCCAATGAAAACCAGCGCACACAGGAAGCAGAGCTTGAGTGACAACAGGAGCAGGAAGCTGAGCTCAGAGTTGTTGGCTTTCACCTGAAACGAGATAGAGAATGATAATTTAGACTGAATCATCAATCTCATCCTTATATGACACAAACTGACTTCTGTCCAGCACCTTTATATATGATCATATGCATAGAAATATAATGATTAGAACGGGCTTGGAACCTCAAACCCTGGCAATTTGACTAGTAAACTCATTGGTACACTCAGAATGGCTGCCTGGTATTGTGATGCAATTATTTCCATGGTAATTTTGAATATTCTATCAACTGATACTCAGAGTCGATATTCACGCAATAATAAGGAATTGCCCTCGACCACGCCCACAAATTGGGGAAAACAAACATTCGTTCCTATTGACCCCCAATGTAAAAGAGCCAACTTCAACTTCATGTTTTGTTATACAGAAATAAAAAAAACGTGCCGAAAAGCTGTTGTGTTGTTCCATGTACACACATCCAGGTCAACAATCCCAACATATCGTTCGCAATGCTCCCACGTAGGGAAATAGAGCCTGCGAGAAGAGCCGCTTAGCTTCAGGCTATTCGCCATGGGAGAGTGGGAAATGTGGGGACCCGGTGTCCAAGAAGGCTAAATATAGCTATTTGTGTGAAAAACATTTTTATCACAGGTTAAGACATTTAACTTGTTTAGTCTGTTTGTAACTCCACTCACTACTTGTAGCTGTATAGTCTGTTTGTAACTCCACTCACTACTTGTAGCTGTATAGTCTGTTTGTAACCCCACTCACTACTTGTAGCTGTACAGTTGGTTTGTAACTCCACTCACTACTTGTAGCTGTATAGTCTTTTTGTAACTCCACTCACTACTTGTAGCTGTATAGTCTGTTTGTAACTTTACTCACTACTTGTAGCTGTATAGTCTGTTTGTAACTCCACTCACTACTTGTAGCTGTATAGTCTGTTTGTAACTCCACTCACTACTTGTAGCTGTATAGTCTGTTTGTAACTTTACTCACTACTTGTAGCTGTATAGTCTGTTTGTAACTCCACTCACTACTTGTAGCTGTATAGTCTGTTTGTAACCCCACTCACTACTTGTAGCTGTATAGTCTGTTTGTAACCCCACTCACTACTTGTAGCTGTAAAGTCTGTTTGTAACTCCACTCACTACTTGTAGCTGTATAGTGTGTTTGTTTGTGTTGTTGGTCTTGACTAGCTTAATGTTCCTGTCATTAGCTAGCACTCACTCACGTGGCTGCTATCACCGTCATGAAAAGGGGCATGAGGGAAGCCCTACAATATTACATTTTCTGAAGTAGTGAGAATACTCTGGTGTATGCAATTTTGAAAAGAAATTTTTAGACATGTTGTACTTTTCTTAAATGTAGTTTTGTAATTGACTAAAACAAGCAGACAACAAGAAAATTGCGTTTGAAAAAGTTCAACTATTTGCTGTGAGCCAATGGGTAACCTAGGTAACCACAGGTTGTTTTCCCCACAGGCAGGCGGGGTCGCGACGTTCTAACTAATACCGACAGGGACTATGCTGGATTGCCATGGTAATGTAGAATGTTCATTCAAATGATACCAACTGATGTGGCTCATGCAATGGAATGTATTTTCTGCTATGTCAGTTGTGTTGACTCAACAAATCTGAGCACAGATTGAAAGGTACACTTCCTGCTGTCACGGAATCAGCCGAGGCTGCTCCTCCTCCTTGCTCGGGCAGGCTTCGGCGTTCGTCGTCCCCGGAGTACTAGCTGCCACCGATCTATGTTTCTGTGTTTGACTTGTTTTGTCTTGATTGTGTACACCTGTTTGCTATGATGTTGTATTGTATTCCCTATTTAACCCTCTGTCGTTCATTGTGTGTTGTGTGTGATTGTTCTTGTCATTTTCGGCAGTTGCTAGTATTCCCCTCCCTGTTTGGAGGTGGTTTCATATTTCTGGTTACTTTGTTAGTAAAGTATCGTTTCCAGTAGCTCGTTGTCCTGCGTTTGACTTCGCCTACCGCATTCACGTCGCACTTTGACACCTGCTTTTACTTACATTTTTTTACATTTTTAGTCATTTAGCAGAAACTCTTATCCAGAGCGACTTACAGGAGCAATTAGGGTTAAGTGCCTTGCTCAATGGCACATCGACAGATTTTTTACCTAGTCGGCTCGGGGATTAGAACCAGCGACCTTTCGGTTACTGGCACAACGCTCTTACCCACTAAGCTACCTGCCGCCCTACTTCCTGGCATCGGTACACTCAAAATGTCTGCCAGTCCACCCATTATGCCATCATTGACTTGAATGGGGACTCCCATTCTACTCATTCTATTTCTATGATCATATGATTCAACTCACCAGGGGCGTATGGCGGTGGTAGAAGAAGGTGGCCAGGGCACCAGCTGTGAGAGTTACCCCGGAAACTGAGATGACGGACAGGATGACGCCCATTGTGTCATTGTAGGAGAGGAAGTCCACCAGCTGGGGGACGCAGGCCGTACGATCAGGGTTGGACCAGAACCGCTCTGGACACCTGCTACACTCAACTGACCCTGACAGAGAAGGAAGAGAAATCAAGAGTCCGAATCAGGACCAGTCAGGATCAGGACCAGTCAGAATCAGGACTAATCAGGATCAGGACCAGTCAGAATCAGGACCAGTCAGGATCAGGACCAGTCAGGATCAGGACCAGTCAGGATCAGGACCAGTCAGAATCAGGAACAGTCAAAATCAGGACCAGTCAGGATCAGGACCAGTCAGAATCAGGACCAGACAGAATCAGGACCAGTCAGAATCAGGACCAGTCAGGATCAGGATCAGTCAGAATCAGGACCAGTCAGGATCAGGACCAGTCAGAATCAGGACCAGTCAGAATCAGGACCAGTCAGAATCAGGACTAGTCAGGATTAGGACTAATCAGGATCAGGACCAGTCAGGATCAGGACCAGTCAGTATCAGGACCAGTCAGGAATGAGGCAAAATATGAATTGGAATGAGAAAAGTTGATAGACTACCTGTTGTGTTGCTGATCTCTCCCTCAGCGCAGGACACACAGTCAAAGCAGCACACAGGCCTCCCCTTCTGCACCACATGCCTGGTACCAGGGGGACAGGCAGCACTGCATATAGACACAGGGACCTGCCACAGGGACGCAGTCACCATCATCATCATCATCATCATCATCATCATTATTACACACACACAGGCAGGTTCGCTATGTGAGGAATCTGACCACACAAATATCTTATATTCAGTAGCATGTTGATGAAAGAGCTTTCTGTCTGAGCTACCATTCAGTAGCATGTTGACTATCCTACCGATCCTTGACCTCGGCGATGTCATTTACAAAATAGCCTCCAACACTCTACTCAGCAAATTGGAGGTAGTCTATTACAGTGCCATCCGTTTTGTCACCAAAGCCCCATACACTACCCACCACTGTGACCTGTACGCTCTTGTTGGCTGGCCCTCACTACATATCCGTCGCCAAACCAACTGGCTCCAGGTCATCTATAAATCTCTTCTAGGCAAATCCCCGCCTTATCTTAGCTCATTGGTCACCATAGCAACACCCACCCGTAGTATGCGTTCCAGCAGGTATATCTCACTGGTCATCCCCAAAGCCAACACATCCTTTGGCCGCCATTCCTTCCAGTTCTCTGCTGCAAATGACTGGAACGAACTGCAAAAATCTCTGAAGCTGGAGACAATTATCTCCCTCACTAACTTTAACCATCAGTTGTCAGAGCAGCTTACCGATCACTGCACCTGTACACAGCCCATCTGTAATTAGCCCATCCAACTACCTCATCCCCATATTGTTTTTTATTTGGCTAATTTGCACCCCAGTATCTCTATTTGCACATCATCTTCTGCACATCTATCACTCCAGTGTTAATACTAAATTGTAATTATTTTGCACTATGGCCTATTTATTGCCTTACCTCCATAACTTACTACATTTGCACACACTGTATATATATTTTCTATTGTGTTATTGACTGTACGTTTTGTTTACCCCATATGTAACTCTGTGTTGTTGTTTTTATCGCAGTGCTTTGCTTTATCTTGGCCAGGTCGAAGTTGTAAATGAGAACTTGTTCCCAACTGGCTTACCTGGTTAAATAAAGGTGAAATAAATAAAAATAAATAAAAAACTGAGCTTTCTGTCTGAGCTACCATTCAGTAGCATGTTAACGACAGAGCTTTCTGTCTGAGCTAACATTCTCCTGTTTTGGCCGTCTTTCTCTTTGCTGTATGTCTGCCTCAGGGTGAGAAACTAAACAAGTCTCTCTCTCACACACACATACACACGCATGCACATACACATACACATACACACACACACACACACACACACACACACACACACACACACACACACACTCCTCTCTGCCTCAGAGAAACCAAGCTAAATGGTTCTCACCTCATCTCCGCTGCCCCCACCCCACACCACTTTCTCCATATTGATGTGAAACTGGTCGTCCGCTCCCACTGAAGACAGAAAATGGCCGACCTGGACAAACTCTGCTGTCCCCTTAGGGGTCACATGCCAGTTGATGATGTCATAAGAGCCAGGCGGATCACCATTCATGTCGAAGTGGAACGAATCCCCCACAGGAGTACTGAAGTTCACTCCCCTCAGATAATGAACAATCTCAAAGAGAAAATTAAATTGAAACAGGATTAAGAGTTAGAAACAATTGACTTTAGTACTCAAACCTTACAAAGTGTTTCCACTGTATCGTCACTGGAAACATTAGTGTTGTTAACTTGAAAACAGATCCACATGGTATTGTCACCTGGCTGGGCTGAAGCTTCCAGATATCAGGGCACTGTCCATCATTAAAGGGTCCCTCCCCTGGTCGACAGGCCAACATGTCCTGTATGGCATGGGCGATGGCGTATACAGCCTTGTACACATTATAGCTGGCTCTCAGCTGAGACACGTCAGCATACTGGCTCTCCCCCTCACCTAGGATTGACACTTTATTTTACCAAGAAAACATCGGGAATGGATCAGGACACAAAAACAGAGCATTAGTTGTAAACTCTCCCTCACCTATGACCTCTGAACCAGTACACTGTCTCCTGGACGACTGGGTCATGCTGAGGTCAACCCCCAGAGAACACCCAAACATCTCCTCCCACAATTCCCTCAGGAATGGGTCGGACTTCTGGTAGTCCCCATCAGGTCGGAGGCGTGTTAGGAACGGTCCCAGGCTGGGAATTATAGCTTTCTTCAGGGCAAATCCGATGGTGCCGGAAAGAGATGGCAGGTTTTTAGGGGAGGAGAGAGTAGAGTAGGTTACCCAGGCCTCTGAGGCGATCCACTGCCTGTCTGTTATGTTCTGACGGACAACCTCTTCCAACAGGGCCTGGAGAATGACGTGGTTAAAAAGATCAAGATAGTCAAGTTGAAATACATGATTATCAATTTGAAAATATTTGTGTCTATAAAGGGCATCAAGACATGGTAGGACAAAAACACTCTGCTACAGCTGTGTAATAAAATAATGAACAATACTCTGACCAGTAACTGCTTACCCGTGCATCCTGTGAGATAGCGAATGTCACGACCACTCTGGCAGTAGATCCTCTGATGGTGTCGACGATGTGCCTGATCCGTCTCTGAGATGGTACCTTGGGGATGACCATCAGTGAGAGAGAGAGGGAAGAGAGTCAGAGGAAATCAGAGAGAGAGTTTCTATTTTAGATTAGAAGAGAGGGGGAGGCAGATTAAAAGAGAGAGAGAAAGAGAGAGTCTATTGTCAGATCGTCAGAGTGAGGTCGTACCTTGGGGATTACCTCAGAGTAGGCGACACACACCCCAGACCCCTGGAGCTCTTGGAGAAGCATCTGAACCCCAAACTTGCCATAGTCATCATCCCCAGACACCAGCCCCACCCACACCCAGCCCAGCAGACGCAGCAGCCTGGCCATGCCCCGAGCCTGGAAGGCATCGCTGGGTATCGTACGGAAGAACGACGGGTACCTCCAGGTGTCACTCAAACACGCACAGGAGGCATAATAGCTCACCTTGGAAAGAACAGAGAGAGAGAGTCAGGGAGAATTCTCATTTGTAAGACACAGAGAGCAGATGGAGAGGGGAAAGTGAACATTACAGACAGAGAGTCATCTAGATAGATATTGAAATGTATATGTAAGAGAGTCATCATCCCTTTCCATCACAGTCTGTAATCCAACCCCATGCCTCACCATGGGTAAATCAAACGGCCCGAGGGTGTGTGCCACCACGATGGAGGCTGAGGAGCGGGCATCACCGATGATGACGGGCACCTCAGGGGTTGCTCCACACTCTGTGCCCGCTACGGAGGCCTCCTGGCCGGTCACCATGGCTAGGGCTGCCCCCAGAGTGGTACTCTCTGCCAGGCATGTGTCAGCAGCCAGGAACCCCAGGGTGAGGTTAGGCAGGAGGGCTGGGTCACGGTTGATCTCCTCCACCGCAAAGATCATAGTCTGGAGCCAGCGGTAAGCACGCTGGTAGAAACTGACAGATGGAGGAAAGGAAGAGACAGGGAGAGAGGAGGTAACTGAATACACTTTACACTTTACACAAGTGAAAACAGTGACACAAAGCTGTCATCACACAATACTTGGGAGTTGCGTACATTGTACATGTCGCATTTCCCTCAATACTCCTGAACTCCTGCTCTGGTAGAGGGGCTTCCACATGGACGGGGAACAGGCCCCCAATGACCACATCTCCTGCCTGATAAACACTGCCCGAGATGGGCTTAGCCATCAGCCGACAGGCCCCCCCTCCACCTCCAGACTGACCCCAGACAGACCCAGGGGCAGGGAGGCAGCAGAGCAGCCACAGCCAGCAGCAGAGGCACATCACCTGGGTAGAAACAAGGCTGAGGACTGGGAAAGTCCGTCACCTGGAGGAGAGGGACCAAACCAAGACCTTACAGACAGAACACTGAGTAGATAGAATGACATGAACAAAAACCGCTAACAATAAAGAGATATACCATACACCACAGACACCTGTAACCAGACATTTGAATGAAACAACAGTGATAGACACACAAAACCTTGTTCTACCTCTGCCCTACCTAGCAACAGTAAAGCTGATCCTGGTGAGACAGACAGACAGAGAGAGACAGAGAGAGAGAGAGGATGAATGTCTGTCAGTCTGGCATCTCCTGCAGGGAGTGTGAGAGTGAAAGAGGGAGAGGAAGAGGATAGAAGGGGAGCTGCTGATATAGGAAGAAATGAGCCCCCGGCTAAAAAACAAGCACACAGCTTGTATGGACGGGAGGAGCAGGAGGGGGTTAATTGGGGCTTGTTACTGGAGGATAACTTGGGGAACAGGTAATTGGAGTAATTGGAGTAATTGGAGAATGCCTATAAGGGTGATGTTATTGAAGTTGATGAAGTTAATGTAGTAAGACAGTATCTGTTCTTCAACAACATCTGATGGATCCATTGAGACAGATGTTACATCAAACTTTATAAAATACATGTAGAATGTTCAATTGTGACTAAATGGAGTAGCCCTTTCCTGCAGTCAAATCACCTAGTGGCCTCATGGGTGGAATGTTATTAATATTTTTCACAATTTCATAATTAATCAACATTATTTTTTAAATAGCAGCCAAAAATCCGGTGTTTTATGTCAAACAGTTTTGTTAAATTTCAGTCTTCTGTGATGTATATACAGTGAAATATTGGGATGCAAACTCAAAATGTAATACATTTCAACTCTATATCTGACATGGTACAGGAGTCTTCTTTTCTTAAGCCCATAACCATGTGTGTGAGGTGTATACTTTTGATAGGGTGTTGTCCAGGGTCATGCCAAGGTTCTTTGCACTCTGGGAGGAGGACACAATGGAGTTGTCAACCGTGATGGCGAGATCATGGAGCGGGCAGTCCTTTCCCGGGAGGAAGAGCAGCTCCGTCTTGCCGAGGTTCAGCTTGAGGTGGTGATCCGACATCCACACTGATATGTCTGCCAGACATGCAGAGATGTGATTCACCACCTGGTTATCAGAAGGGGGAAAGAAGAAAATTAATTGTGTGTCGTCTGCGTAGCAATGATAGGAGAGACCATGTGAGGATATGACAGAGCCAAGTGACTTGGTGTATAGAGAGAATAGGAGAGGGCCTAGAACTGAGCCCTGGGGGAAACCAGTGGTGAGGGCACGTGGTGCGGAGACAGATTCTCGCCACGCCACCTGGTAGGAGCGACCTGTCAGGTAGGACACCAGGTAGGACGCAATCCAAGAGTGAGCAGCGCCGGAGATGCCCAACTCAGAGAGGGTGGCGAGGAGGATCTGATGGTTCACAGTATCAAAGGCAGCGGATAGGTCTAGAAGGATAAGAGCAGAGGAGAGAGAGTTAGCTTTAGCAGTGCGGAGAGCCTCCGTGACACAGAGAAGAGCAGTCTCAGTTGAATGACCTGTCTTGAAACCTGACTGGTTTGGATCAAGATGGTCATTCTGAGAGAGATAGCAGGAGAGTTGGCAAGATTTAATCTGGAGAGAGAGGGGAGAAAGAAGTCAAAGCATAGGGTAGGGCAGTGCGAGCATGACCAGCGGTGTCATTTGACTTAATAAATGAGGATCGGATGTCGTCAACCTTCTTTTCAAAATGGTTGACGAAATCATCCACAGAGAGGGAGGAGGGATGAGGAGAAGGAGGAGGATTCAGCAGGGAGGAGAAGTTGGCAAAGAGGGTTAGAGGCAGAGGCTTGAAATTTAGAGAAAGTGGCTTTAGCAGCAGAATGTAGAGAGGAGGGAGTGAAAAGATGACAGGTCCGCAGGGAGTCTAGTTTTCCTCCATTTCCGCTTGGCTGCCCGGAGCCCTCTTCTGTGAGCTCACAATGAGTCGTCAAGCCACGGAGCAGGAGGGGAGGACCGAGCCGGCAGGATAGGGGACATAGAGAGTCAAAATATGCAGAAAGGGAGGAGAGGAGGGTTGAGGAGGCAGAATCAGGAGATCGGAGGGAGAAGGATATAGCAGAGGGAAGAGATGATAGGATGGAAGAGGAGAGAGTAGCAGGAGAGAGAGAGCGAAGGTTGTGACGGCACATTACCATCTGAGTAGGGGCAGAGTGAGTAGTGTTGGAGGAGAGCGAGAGAGAAAATGATACAAAGTAGTGGTCGGAGACTTGGAGGGGAGTTGCAGTGAGATTAGTAGAAGAACAGCATCTAGTAAAGATGAGGTCAAGCATATTGCCTGCCTTGTGAGTAGGGGGGACGGTTAGAGGGTGAGGTCAAAAGAGGAATGGAGTGAAAAGAAGGAAGCAGAGAGAAATTAGTCAAAGGCAGACATAGGGAGGTTAAAGTCACCCAGAACTGTGAGGGGTGAGCCATCCTCAGGAAAGGAACTTATCAAGGCGTCAAGCTCATTGATGAACTCTCCAAGGGAACCTGGAGGGCGATAAATAAGTGCCACCAACGAGGCCCACTACCAAGGACTGTGGCCTCTCCTTCTCCATGGCCGACGTGAGTAAGACATTTAAGCATGTTAACCCCCGCAAGGCTGCCGGCCCAGACGGCATCCCTAGCCGGGTCCTCAGAGCATGCGCAGACCAGATGGCTGGTGTGTTTACTGACATATTCAATCTCTCCCTTTCCCAGCCTGCTGTTCCCACATGCTTCAAGATGGCCACCATTGTTCCTGTACCCAATAAAGCAAAGGTAACTGAACTAAATGACTATCTCCCTGTAGCACTCACCTCTGTCATCATGAAGTGCTTTGAGAGACTAGTCAAGGACACCTCTACCTTACCTGTCACCCTAGACCCACTTAAATTTGCTTACCACCCCAATAGATCCACAGACGATGCAATCGCCATCACACTGCACACTGCCCTATCCCATCAGAACAATAGGAATACCTACGTAAGAATGCTGTTCATTGACTATAGCTCAGCATTCAACACCATAGTACCCTCCAAGCTCATCATCAAGCTCGAGGCCCTGGGTCTGAACCCCACCCTGTGCAACTGGGTCCTGGACTTCCTGACACTGGGGCCCCACAAGGGTGCATGCTCAGCCCCCTCCTGTACTCCCTGTTCACCCATGACTGCGTGGCCAAGCACGCCTCCAACTCAATCATCAAGTTTGCAGACGACACAACAGTAGTAGGCTTGATTACCAACAATGACGAGACCGCCTACAGGGAGGAGGTGAGGGCTCTGGGAGTGTGGTGGCAGGAAAATAACCTCTCACTCAATGTCAACAAAACAAAGGAGATGATCATGGACTTCAGGAAACAGCAGAGGGTGCACCCCCCTATCCACATCGACGGGACCGCAGTGGAGAAGGTGGAAAGCTTCAAGTTCCTTGGTGTACACGTCACCGACAAACTGAAATGGTCCACCCACGCAGACAGTGTGGTGAAGAAGGCGCTACAGAGCCTCTTCAATCTCAGGAGGCTGAAGAAATTTGGCTTGGCACCTATAACCCTCACAAACTTTTACAGATGCACAATTGAGAGCATCCTGTCGGGCTGTATCACCGCCTGATACGAAAACTGCACCGCCCGCAACCGCAGGGCTCTCCAGAGGGTGGTGCGGTCTGCCAAATGCATTATCAGGGGCAAACTACCCGCCCTCCAAGACACCTACAGCACCCGATGTCACAGGAAGGCCAAAAAGATCATCAAGGATATCAACCACCCGAGCCACTGCCTGTTCACCCCGCTATCATCCAGAAGGCGAGGTCAGTACAGGTGCATCAAAGCTGGGACCGAGAGAATGAAAAACAGCTTCTATCTCAAGTCTGTTAAATAGCCATCACTAGCACATTAGAGGCTGCTGCTGCCTATTGAAATCACTGGCCACTTTAAGAAATGGAACACTAGTCACTTTAATAATGTTTACATATCTTGCACTACTCATCTCATATGTGCAGTATATACTGTACTCTATTCTATAATATTCTACTGTATCTTAGTCCATGCTGCTCTGTCATTGCTTGTCCATATATGTATATATTCTTAAATTCCATTCCTTACTAGATTTGTGTGTATAGGGTATATGTTGTGAAATTGTTAGATATTACTTGTTAGATATTACTGCACTGTCGGAGCTAGAAGCACAAGCATTTCGCTACACCTGCAATAACATCTGCTAAACATGTGTATGTGACAAATACAATTAGATTAGATTTGATTTGATTGTACAATGTTCACACATATGCAGGGCCGGCCCTAGCCTTTTGGGGGCCCTAAGCAAGATTCGCGAAAATTTCCTTCTGTAGGAAGGCGGGGATAGAACCTGCCAGGTGATTGGTTGAACCTTCTTGAGTGCATGACGTCACACATATGTTCTACAGAGCCGTCTGTTTAGCTAGCTCGTACCACCAGCATGTCATGAGCAGTCGACTTGGGAAACCCAGCTTCAGCTTGAAAAGATGAGAGAGGCCTGTACTTTTCATCATAGGTACACGTCAACTATGACAGACAAATTGAGAAAAAAAATCTAGAAAATCACATTGTAGGATTCTTTATGAATTTATTTGCAAATTATGGTGGACCTGTAACTTCTTCTTTAAGAGGCTCCTCTGTCCTCCACTCGTTACCTGTATTAATGGCACCTGTTTGAACTTGTTATCAGTATAAAAGACACCTGTCCAAAACCTCAAACAGTCACACTCCAAACTCCACTATGGCCAAGACCAAAGAGCTGTCAAAGGACACCAGAAACAAAATTGTAGACCTGCACCAGGCTGGGAAGACTGAATCTGCAATAGGTAAGCAGCTTGGTTTGAAGAAATCAACTGTGGGAGCAATTATTAGGAAATGGAAGACATACAAGACCACTGATAATGTCCCTCGATCTGGGGCTCCACGCAAGATCTCATCCTGTGGGGTCAAAATGATCACAAGAACGGTGAGCAAAAATCCCAGAACCACACGGGGGGACCTAGTGAATGACCTGCAGAGAGCTGGGACCAAAGTAACAAAGCCTACCATCAGTAACACACTACGCCGCCAGGGACTCCAGACATGTCCCCCTGCTTAAGCCAGTACATGTCCAGGCCCGTCTGAAGTTTGCTAGAGTGCATTTGGATGATCCAGAAGAGGATTGGGAGAATGTCATATGGTCAGATGAAACCAAAATAGAACTTTTTGGTAAAAACTCAACTCGTCGTGTTTGGAGGACAAAGAATGCTGAGTTGCATCCAAAGAACACCATACCTACTGTGAAGCATGGGGGTGGAAACATCATGCTTTGGGGCTGTTTTTCTGCAAAGGGACCAGGATGACTGATCCGTGTAAAGGAAAGAATGAATGGGGCCATGTATCGTGAGATTTTGAGTGAAAACCTCCTTCCATCAGCAAGGGCATTGGAGATGAAACGTGGCTGGGTCTTTCAGCATGACAATGATCCCAAACTCACCGCCCGGGCAATGAAGGAGTGGCTTCGTAAGAAGCATTTCAAGGTCCTGGAGTGGCCTAGCCAGTCTCCAGATGTCAACCCCATAGAAAATCTTTGGAGGGAGTTGAAAGTCCGTGTTGCCCAGCGACAGCCCCCAAAACATCACTGCTCTAGAGGAGATCTGCATGGAGGAATGGGCCAAAATACCAGCAACAGTGTGTGGAAACCTTGTGAAGACTTACAGAAAATGTTTGACCTGTGTCATTGCCAACAAAGGGTATATAACAAAGTATTGAGAAACTTTTGTTATTGACCAAATACTTTATTTTCCACCATAATTTGCAAATAAATTCATTGAAAATCCTACAATGTGATTGTCTGGAAAAAAAATTCCTCATTTTGTCTGTCATAGTTGACGTGTACCTATGATGAAAATTACAGGCCTCTCTCATCTTTTTAAGTGGGAGAACTTGCACAATTGGTGGCTGACTAAATACTTTTTTCCCCCATTGTATGTATTGCTTGATATGAGCAAGTTAACCCAAATGTTTCAAAGAATAGGTCATGCATCCACAATTAGTTAGTGGCAACTGCCTGGTCAATGATTTAGCTAGATACATTTCAGTAATTAACTCTCCTCCGAAATGCGGTGGTCATTGGATAAACTAAGTTGAAGTGTTGAAAAGATTTGTCTGAAAACAAACTAGTTATTGTTGCCCATGGTGTAATCATGTCTAACCAGTTGGCTAATTTAGTCTGTGTGCCTATGAGCTCACAAGTCTAGATAGCTAGCCAGATACATTTCAGTCAGTAGCTATCCTTCTATATGTGATGGTCACTGGAGTTGAACATATTTTGCTGAAAACTAACTAGTAGCCAGTTTTTGTTGCCCATGGTGGCTCCTGAAGCCTATGTCCCCATGAGCTCCCGAGTCTAGCTAACGTTAGCTAGCTAGTGTCAGGAATTAGCATTTTGCTAGCTAGCTGAGCTGTTTTATAAGAAAACTGCTTATATGAATCAAAAACTCTAGCTAGCTAGCAAAGCCTCCTCGGCGACAATGTTATTGGGGCATGGGAATGTCAGATTCGTATTTAGATTTTATATTAACTGTCATTGAAGTTGGTGGTTGCTGCTGGTTTCAGATCCGAGACGAGAGAGATAATGCACAAGAATGATTTATTACCATGATTTAAATGTCAAAGGTACACACGTAAAGTAAGTCAGGTGGTTTAGACACTGGATGGATTTTATGTTCACTTAAGAATGTGAGTGTTGATTGATGATGTATGTTCTAGTCCAGGCTCATCCTATATAAGTACTGCTATACACACATTTTCTATTCACATACTTTCCATACTGTTAGATTATTTATTCATTCGTTTTGAAAAAAAATCCACCAATCAAAATGCACTTTTGTTCATAAGGGGGCAGAAAACTAAAATCAAATTGTATTCGTCACATGCTTCGCAAACAACAGGTGAGGACTAACAGTGAAGTGCTTACTTTCGGGGCCTTCCCAACGGCGCAGAGGGAAGGAAAATAGAGAAATAATAGAAAAGTATAACATTAAACAATAAAAGTAATAATTTATGTGTTTTAAAACTATTTTTTATTGTTTCAAACTATATTTAAAAGTAACTATTTTTCTTACTTAAAACTATATATAAAAGTAAAAAATGTTTTTGTCTAAAACTATATTTAAAAGTAACTATTTTTCTTACTTAAAACTATATATAAAAGTTAAAAAAATGTTTGTCTAAAACTATATTTAAAAGTAACTATTTTTCTTACTTAAAAATGTATATATAAAAGTAAAAAATGTTTGTCTAAAACTATATTTAAAAGTAACTATTTTTCTTACTTAAAACTATATATAACATTTAAAAAAATGTTTGTCTAAAACTATATTTAAAAGTAACTATTTTTCTTACTTAAAACTATATATAAAAGTAAAAAAAAAATGTTTGTCTAAAACTATATTTAAAAGTAACTATTTTTATTGTTTCAAACTATATTTAAAAGTAACTATTTTTCGTCAGTACATTGAGCTGAGCAGTGCCAGTCCAGTACCTGCCATGGCTATATGATGTCAGTATCTGGGCAGAGTCCTCTCTCTGTCTCACAGCTCCTCATAGCCTGCAGTGCGTGGGCTATGGCGTACACAGCCTTGTACACGTTATAGGATATCCTCAACTGAGACACGTCAGAGTAGATGCTCCTCACACTGCCCAGCTCCTGAGACCCAGAGCACAGAGGTTTACTCCTCTGACTACCTCCACCCCCATCACCCTGCAGGCTACACCCAAACACCTCCTCCCAGAAGGGGTGTAGGAACGGGTTTTCGGAGGCATCTGGGCTGGAGGGGTGCAGACGCATCAGGAATTCCTGTAGCCCAGGGATGTGCACAGCTCGGCAGATGGCAAAGCCCATGGAGCCCTGGAGGATGGGGAGGAAGCGGGGAGGGGTGGAGAGGACTGAGGCTGTACTCTAGGCTTCGCTGGCCAGCCACTGCACCCATGTCAGACCCTGCCGCAGGGCCTTGTCAAACAGCTCCAGCATCCTGCTCCAGGGCAAACATCAGATCCACCCCAGCCCCGGAGGACTGGATGTGGGCCACAATGGAGGTCATGGCCCCCTCCGCGTGGTTCTTGGGGATGATTTCATGGAGGGCCACGCAGGCACCAAGCTTCTGGACCTATAATGGTATACTATGGTCATTTAGCAGACACGCAGGACAAAATCGTACAGTATATCCCATAAACCTCCTCAGAAAATATCTGATCTCCCCTATGACCATATTCCATAGTCCCTGGCAACCACACCCACCCAGGTCCAGCAAAATGCTGGACAAGCTGCACCAGAGCATCCACTTGGAATCAGACAGGGATTAACTTTTTCCCCACGCTCAATTGCTACCAAACCGGCCAGAGTAGAGATTAGATAGGGATTAGACAGAGACTACACCAGAGAGAGAAAGTGGATGAGTTAGAGAGTTAAATGGAATCAGAAGTCACCTGGAAGAAGACACTGGGCAGGGTCCTGAGGAAGGCTGGGAACTCTGCCTTGTTACTGAGACACACAGCTGGAGAAATAACTGAACTGAGAGTGAGAGAGAGAGTGAGAGAGAGAGAGAGAGAGAGAGAGAGAGAGAGAGAGAGAGAGAGCGAGAGAGAGAGAGAGAGAGAGAGAGTGAGAGAGAGAGAGAGAGAGAGAGAGAGAGAGAGATTCAGCCAATGTACTTCTTAGTAACATCCTAAAAAGTGTAGTGTATACTGCTAATGTAAGTAGCCAGTCTTTCTACCTGAGGCACTCTGAAGACTCCCAGGAAGCGAGCCACCACCAGAGACAGAGTGGAGCCTCCATCCCCGATGACCACCGGTACCATGCCACGACAGGACCCCCCCTCCCCCTCTCCTTCTCCCTCTCCTTCTCCCCTCATCAGTTCCATAGAAGCCCTCAGGGCATGGTAGAAAGTACTGCAGGAGTCATATATCTTATGTCCCAGAGTAAGGCCCGGAGTAATGCTAGGAGTAGGACTGAGGCTGGGACTGAGGCTGAGGCTGGGACTGAGGCGAGGACTGGGATTGAGTCTGGGACTGGGGCTGGGACTGAGGCTGGAATTGGGACTGAGGCTGGAACTGAGTCTGGGACTAGGACTTAGGCTGGGACTGAGGCTAGGACTGGGACTGAGGCTGGGACTGGGACTGAATCTGGGACTGGGGCTGGGACTGAGGCTAGAACTGAGGCTGGAATTGGGACTGGGGCTGGGACTGAGGCTAGGAGTAGGACTGAGGCTGGGACTGAGGCTGGGACTGGGACTGAGGCTGGGACTGAGGTTGGGACTGAGCCTGGGACTGAGGCTGGGACTGGGACTGAATATGGGACTGTGGCTGGGACTGAGGCTAGAACTGGGACTGGGGCTGGGACTGAGGATGGGACTGAGACTGGGACTGAGGCTAGGACTGGGACTGAGGCTGGGACTGGGACTGATGCTGGAATGGGGCTGATCAGAGTTAGACTGAGCTGGGACTGAAGCTGGGACTGGGGCTAGGACTGGGACTGAGGCTGGGACTGAGGCTGAGGCTGAGGCTGAGGCTGAGACTGAGACTGAGGCTGAAGCTGAGACTGAAGCTGGACTGGGAATGAGTCTGGACTGAGGTAGGCTGAGTCTGTGAACTGGACTGAGGGCTGGGACTGGGACTGAGGCTAGATGGGGCTGAGGCTGAAGCAGGACTGGGAACGGAGACTGGGACTGAGACTGGGGTCTGGGACAGAGGCTGGACTAGACTAGACTGGACTGAGTCCTGGGACTGAGTCTGGGACGGGGTGAGGGCGGTGTGTACTGAGCTAGGGACTGGGACTGAGGCCTGGGACGAGTTCTGGGACTGAGGGGTGGGATGAGGCTGGAGAGTGGATGGGACTGAGTTGGGACGAGGTGGACGAGGCGGGACTGGGACGAGGTGGATGAGGCGAGGGATGGGATTGAGTTGGGACGGGGCACAGGACTGGGGCTGGGACTGAGGCTAGAACTGGGACTGGGGCCTGGGACTGATGATGGGACTGAGACTGGGACTGATGCTAGGACTGGGACTGAGGATGGGACTGGGACTGATGCTGGAACGGGACTGATGCTAGGAGTAGAACTGAGGCTGGGACTGAAGCTGGGACTGGGGCTAGGACTGGGACTGAGGCTGGGACTGAGGCTGAGGCTGAGGCTGAGACTGAGGCTGAGGCTGAGGCTGAGACTGGGACTGAGTCTGGGACTGGGGCTGGGACTGAGGCTAGGACTGAGGCTGGGACTGGGACTGAGGCTGGGACTGGGACTGAGGCTAGGAGTGGGGCTGAGGCTGAAGCTAGGACTGGGACTGAGACTGGGACTGAGACTGGGACTGGGACAGAGGCAGGGACTGAGACTAAGACTTGGACTGAAGCTAGAACTAGGACTGAGGCTGGGACAGAGGCTGGAATTGGGACTGGGGCTGGGACTGAGGCTGGGACTGAGGCTGGGACTGAGGCTAGAACTGGGACTGAGTCTGGGACTGAGGCTGGGACTGAGACTGAGGCTGGGACTTAGTGTGGGACTGAGGCTGGGACTGGGACTGAGGCTGGGACTGAGGCTGGGACTGGGACTGAGGCTGGGACTGAGGCTGGGACTGGGGCTGAGGCTGGGACTGAGGCTGGGAATGAGGCTAGGACTGGGATTGAGTCTGGGACTGGGGCTGGGAATGAGGCTAGGACTGAGGCTGAAATTGGGACTGAGGCTGGAACTGAGGCTGGGACTGGGACTTAGGCTGGGACTGAGTTTGGAATGTTGTTAACACACTACGGCACCCTGCATGTTGTTAACACACTACAGCACCCTGCATGTTGTTAACAAACTACAGCACCCTGCATGTTGTTAACACACTACAGCACCCTGCATGTTGTTAACACACTACAGCACCCTGCATGTTGTTAACACACTACAGCACCCTGCATGTTGTTAACACACTACATCACCCTGCATGTTGTTAACACACTACATCACCCTGCATGTTGTTAACACACTACATCACCCTGCATGTTTTTAACACACTACATCACCCTGCATGTTGTTAACACACTACAGCACCCTGCATGTTGTTAACACACTACAGCACCCTGCATGTTGTTAACACACTACATCACCCTGCATGTTGTTAACACACTACAGCACCCTGCATGTTGTTAACACACTACAGCACCCTGCATGTTGTTAACACACTACAGCACCCTGCATGTTGTTAACACACTACAGCACCCTGCATGTTGTTAACACACTACAGCACCCTGCATGTTGTTAACACACTACAGCACCCTGCATGTTGTTAACACACTACATCACCCTGCATGTTGTTAACACACTACATCACCCTGCATGTTGTTAACACACTACATCACCCTGCATGTTGTTAACACACTACATCACCCTGCATGTTGTTAACACACTACATCACCCTGCATGTTGTTAACACCCTACATCACCCTGCATGTTGTTAACACACTACATCACCCTGCATGTTGTTAACACACTACAGCACCCTGCATGTTGTTAACACACTACAGCACCCTGCATGTTGTTAACACACTACAGCACCCTGCATGTTGTTAACACACTACAGCACCCTGCATGTTGTTAACACACTACATCACCCTGCATGTTGTTAACACACTACATCACCCTGCATGTTGTTAACACACTACAGCACCCTGCATGTTGTTAACACACTACAGCACCCTGCATGTTGTTAACACACTACATCACCCTGCATGTTGTTAACACACTACAGCACCCTGCATGTTGTTAACACACTACATCACCCTGCATGTTGTTAACACACTACAGCACCCTGCATGTTGTTAACACACTACAGCACCCTGCATGTTGTTAACACACTACATCACCCTGCATGTTGTTAACACACTACATCACCCTGCATGTTGTTAACACACTACAGCACCCTGCATGTTGTTAACACACTACATCACCCTGCATGTTGTTAACACACTACAGCACCCTGCATGTTGTTAACACACTACAGCACCCTGCATGTTGTTAACACACTACAGCACCCTGCATGTTGTTAACACACTACAGCACCCTGCATGTTGTTAACACACTACAGCACCCTGCATGTTGTTAACACACTACATCACCCTGCATGTTGTTAACACACTACATCACCCTGCATGTTGTTAACACACTACAGCACCCCTGCATGTTGTTAACACACTTAACAGCACCCTGCATGTTGTTAACACACTACAGCACCCTGCATGTTGTTAACACACTACATCACCCTGCATGTTGTTAACACACTACATCACCCTGCATGTTGTTAACACACTACAGCACCCTGCATGTTGTTAACACACTACAGCACCCTGCATGTTGTTAACACACTACATCACCCTGCATGTTGTTAACACACTACATCACCCTGCATGTTGTTAACACACTACAGCACCCTGCATGTTGTTAACACACTACATCACCCTGCATGTTGTTAACACACTACAGCACCCTGCATGTTGTTAACACACTACAGCACCCTGCATGTTGTTAACACACTACAGCACCCTGCATGTTGTTAACACACTACAGCACCCTGCATGTTGTTAACACACTACAGCACCCTGCATGTTGTTAACACACTACAGCACCCTGCATGTTGTTAACACACTACATCACCCTGCATGTTGTTAACACACTACATCACCCTGCATGTTGTTAACACACTACAGCACCCTGCATGTTGTTAACACACTACATCACCCTGCATGTTGTTAACACACTACATCACCCTGCATGTTGTTAACACACTACAGCACCCTGCATGTTGTTAACACACTACATCACCCTGCATGTTGTTAACACACTACATCACCCTGCATGTTGGCTCCAGTTCCAGTAAAGAGAGTTTCTTCCAGTTTTAGAAAACACACCCTACTGAACCGTACCATAATCCATATTCTCATAACGTCCTAGAATACCCCTGTCCGACTGCCAAAGAGATGCATCCATGCTGAACCATCACAGACAGTACAGTACACAGGCCCACGCACATCCTCACCCACTCATTCTGGGTCATGGCAAGAGGCCTCTTTATATACTGCCTACCTGCCTGACCCCCTCTCAGATCACCTCCTTGTCAGATAGGTCCGATCTCCCCAGGGATACCGGTCAATGGAAAGAAGAGAGCATCTGCCAGTTTCACAGCAGGCAGTGACAATAACAAGCAACTGCCATGCACATTGGACCATAATGGAGTGAGACGGGAGACAAACACCATTCACCACTCTGCCTGAGTGAACCAACTGATCCTACAGCGATGTAAAGAGACAGAGGGCTCACCTCACCTCCCTGCAGACAGTCACCCGCTGTCAGTCTCAGACCTCTAATCTACACACTCCTCAAGGAAGCTGGCGTCATGACAGAATAGGAACATAATGGTCAGTAAAGAGCAAAGTATTCCATGTGATGTACAGTATCGAAGTGTTAATATATACATACATGTGTAGGTGATTAATTCAGGGCACCGGATTGCTCTTTTCCCTGCATGCCAGCTCTGAGTCTCTAAGTGGAGTAAAGCAGCTGTGAACGAGAGCCATATATTTACAGAATTTGGAACAACTTTTAGAATTTTGAATATTGTTCTAATTCTAGACATTCAGTTACATAGCATTGTTTAAATATTCCCCATGTAATGTTAATGAGGAGCCAACATGGCTGCCATAGAATGTTGAAGTGTCATGTAAATGCATCATAATGCAGAAACCTCATTGGCCCAATTCTCTAAACACATGCTGTAAACCTGTGGAGTAATGACTCATAAAGGCCCACTCTGTGTGATAATCTGCTATGCTATTGGGGAATGCTGCAGGCTATGTGAGACAGAGAGGAGGACAGAGAGAGAGAGTGAGGGAGAGAGAGAGATAAACAGAGATAATAAGTGTT